TCCTACCAGCAGAAAGAAGGAGGCGACACTGTGCACCCTGTACTTTCAAACAGGAATATATTATCTGTTCAAAAAAATTTTTAAAGCTTTTCAGGAAGCAAAAATAAAGAGAATCTATGAGAAGGAAAAAAATGTATATTTAGGAAAGCCAGAGATGAGCGGCCCTGAGCAGCTGGAAGCAGCCACATGGGGAAATGAAGCAAGGAATTGCTCTGCCAGTGTGTCAATCCTTCTCTGGGGCAGCTCCTGATCAAATCCACCCACCTTTATTCTGATGTTGATACGCAAAGAAAACGCTGCCATGAGATATTAAGAACACAAATGTGTCTGTTGCCCTCAGACCTCTCAGCCAGAGAGGAGACAACTCATCGTTGTGCAGTGACCAATGGAGCAGCTCAGAATGCCATGGGGCACAGAAAGAGAACTTGCTGGGCTAAGGGAGAGATCAGGACAGGGTCCTGCTGGGCAGCCCCCAGTGAGGGTCAAAGGAGCTGAATGGGCCACCTGAGCTTTGTCTGTTTTGATGAGAAGAGGCAACACGGCGGGGGTCGGGGTAGGAGGCCTGGTAGCACTTGGCTGGTGTCACTAGAGAGCACAGGGAGCCAGGGAGGAATGCAGGGCAGGGGAGCAACCAGCAGGACACACTCTAGGCCTGCTCCTTAGCCTGGTATACTGGCCGTGAGGCCATCCTGTGCGCCACAGGATGTTGAACAGCATCCCTGGCCTCCAAATTTTCAATGCCAATAGCACCCCCTCCGAGTTGGGACAACCAAAAATGTCTCCAGAAAAATCACCCCTGGGTGAGAACCACTGCCCTGCACACATCACCTGAGCAGCTATGTGTAAGACAGAAGGGAGGAAGCCCATCCAGGAGGCGTGGCCATAATGCAGAAGGGATACGGCACAGGCCCTGCTTGACCAGTGGCCCTGGTGACAGAGGAAAGATGGATTTGGCCACTACTTAGGAGGTATAATGAGCAGAACCTGGAGCAACAGGATGTGGTAGTAGAGGGTGAACCCAGGACGCCAACCTTCCAAGTAGCAACTGAGCAAATGATGGTCCCAAAGTTAAATGTTCTTAAACCATTTTATCAGGACTTCCCCTGTTCACAGCCCTGAAGTGGCTTCCTATTAGCCACAGAACTAAAATCTAAAGGCTTTAACCTGAATTCAAAGACCTTCACAATATAATCCTTATTTCCTCTTATTCCTTACACAATCTTCTAATCCCACAAACCACACATAATCCACCTTCTTGCCTTTGTTCCCAAAACCCCAAACACTTTCTGTGTGTGGTGCTGCAATGCCCTCACTCTTTTCCCCCACTCACCTCCTGCTAAGTAGGTTTCAGCTCAAAGACCACCAAATCCTTGAAGCTTTCTGTCACACTGTAGTCCCCTGCAATCATTTCCCTTCTGAATTTCAAGAGCAAACTTTTTCTGTAAATGGGTCAGAGAGTAAATAGTTTAGGCCTTGTAGGCCATATAGTCTCTGTTGCAATTAGTCAATTCTGCCAAAGCAGCCACAGATCATACAAAAGTGAACAAGGGTGGCTGTGTTTCAATAAAACTTTATTTACAAAAACACGCAGGGGACCTGGTCTAGAGCACTGTTCAGCCCTTAATCTTAGAAGGGTTCACAGCCTTAGCAGACTTTCTCCTTTTCAAGCTCCATGAAAGAACAGTGTGCCACATGCCTGTAGTACTACAATCTATGCACAACTAATTGAGCACAGATTAGATGTTCAATCTAAAAAGTAGTGAATTAATGATACTCGGGAAACATTTATATAGAATACTGAAAAAATATTCCTAATGCTGAATATTATGTTTTCCCACAAAATTCCAGACTTCAAAGAAAAGCAGGGAAAAGCCACACCAAATGTTAAACCAAGAAAAATTCCACCCAATGGAGCATAATAGTGGCCAATAAGTTCTTTTCACAACACACATACTGTGTCAAAGACCAATATGAGTTTATGAGTTTACTGACAAGCTTATGAATGGGGTGTGTGTGTGTGCAACTTCATGTTATCAGAACTCTCGGACATATGATGATAAAATTCATTTATATCACCATCCCAGCAAAATGCTGGTCCCAGGAAGTCTGAGACCTGAGCACAGCAGAAGCAGGAGTGAGCCAGGACTGCAGACCCAAGCGAGGAGGTCTATCTCACAGGGTGGAACAGCACACTGTTCCACTGTGGCCAGAGGTTGGGAGTCAGGGTCAGACACGACCTCCGGGAGCAGGGCAGAGCTTCTAAATAATGTCAGGGGCAAGTCCCAGAGGCAAACAGAAGGCACAGTGAGGCAGGTACAGGAGGCAGCAGAGACAACCAATAACTGACTTTACCTGGGAGAGTGAGCAAGGTAACAGAAGGGACCTGGAGGCAGGCAGACAACCAAGTTCAGCTCTACCAGAAGATGACTGCCAGGCCCAGGGCTGCACACATGGCTGCGCACGGAGGCTGTGCCTCTGAGACAGGACACCCACAAAGGCCAATGGCAAATGACCAAATGACCATGGGTCAGGGAACAGGCACAGCAAAGGGGTTTTGCTAGTAAAACTAGCTATCTTACCATGAGAACCCTATGTGGACACTGTTTTCAAAAGCACCAAAGAACCCGGGAGAAGCCTAACAAGACACTGTATTTGCTGTTATGAAATTGTCCAAGGACAGCCCATCCCAGCACACACGCAGGAGAGAATCCCCGGATGGACATTTTTAAATCTATCTTTAGATATTTTGAAGTTTGCTCACAGAAGCTGTTTTGTTACCATTTGTTCTGAACATTAAACGCTCTCACCTTAAATCCCACAAATGCAAAAGACTCTACTTAAAGTGCAAGTGGAAGGGTTTCCTCCTAGTCTCAGCGCCACGCAGGCCAGGAGACACGATGTAGTTACCTAGGGTAAGTCTATGTCTGAGAGAGTCATCTCCTTGGGAAACATGGGGAATTTTTCCACTTTGTTCTGAAGCAAGTTAAGTCTTATTTCTTCGAAGAGCTTAGCAAGATAGAATGTTACAGCACTGGTAATTCCAAGTTCTCACTTTCTGTAGCTCATGTCTTCACTGTCACTTTAAGTTTGTTAATAAATTATCCTTTCTATTACAAGGATAACACTGTGAAGAGAAACATAACGATTCAAACAGAGAATTACCCAAGAGCTGCTCTAAATCTCATTTCTGTCAACAACAATCCTACCTACCCAAGGGCAATAAGTACTACAGTGTTCTAGAGTGGCTCATTAGCAGCTTTCTTTTTCCAAAAATATTTTTTAAAACTGTTCTATATAATAATTTATCTAAATCCATTAAATTTGTTCCTCATTTACCTTTATAAAGACTTATTTCTCAAAATATGATTCCAGTTTGCTTGTGTAAGAAAAGGGAGCCACAGACTTCAAGTTAATGTAAACTAAGACTGTGATGCTAGGGGACAAATGAAAAACCAATGACCAGCAAATGCACTCTGCAAACCAGATCTTGGCAGTGATGACAACTACTAACTTTTGTGAATATTTACAATGTACCAGGCACAAAGTGTTTTACAGTCTTAATTCACTGAGTCCTCACAACCACCCTAGGAAGCCAATATTATTAGTGTTCCCATTTTACAGATGAGGAACCGAAGGCACACAACACAAAGCCAGTAAACAGAAGAGTCACAACTCAAAGGCACGCAGTCTGGCTCCAGAACCCGCCCTCTCCTCCACTATGTTTTCCAGCCTCTTGGCAAGATAGCTGACTAGACAAAGTGCAGGCAGAGAGACCGCCTGGCCTCTGTTCAGTCTCCGAGCAAGCGTTTGAGGATCATCAAGGAGGTACCTAGGACGCTTTATGGAATGAGTATCCTTGCTTTACAGTCACACCTCCTATCAAATCTCCTTCCCCTCCCCCAATGAGGAGAAAACACACCTTGCTCATTGTGAAAGGGGAGCCGCTCACCGGGAACCACCTGCTGTTTACAGAGGCACCCAGGACGCACAGGGTTCAATTCCCCTCACTGGCTTCAAAGACAAATCTCCTATTGTCTGCACCAGGGGAGGAACACCAAGCCTTGCAACCGTAGGTTTCTGTAGAGGTCACTGGAGGTTTGGTTAAACCCTACAACACCGAAGCGGGGGTGGGGGTGGGGGGCGCCGCATTTTTGCTGCTGACGGCTGCGCAGCGCCCACAGCAGCTGCTGGTGGGAGCAGCATGTAACACACTCACAGCTGCCGCGGCCTCGCAGCCGGCTGCATGTTTTAAAATAAAAGACGTCCTGACCCCCAAGATGCACAGCCTGCCTCGCTCGCAGTCCTCGGCACGGAACACTCTGCCTCCACCCGCTCCACTCCAGCAAGCGGGAAGCAACTGAGGGAATTCCAGCTCCGGGAGGGAAGGGGCCGACCGCCCTAGCCCACCTTGCTGCAGAGGCCAGGTCCGCGGGGCCCGGCCACCACGGCCCGCACCCGGAGACCCGCGTCCCGACTCCCCGCACCTCGGACAAAGCCCGGCCCGGCCCGGCCCCGCATCGCCCGCAACGGGCCGCCGGCTCCCACCCCGCCCCGACTGCGCCGGGGAACCGCGCCGACGCCCCGCACTCAGGCCCTGCACTCCACTCACGCCCACCCTCGCGCCGGGCACACCCACCCTCAGGCCGGGCACGCTCACACTCACGCCCACCCTCGGACGGGGCACACTCACACTCACGCCCACCCTTGGGCTGGGCGCTCTCACACTGACGCCCACTCCCGGGCCGGGCCCCCACACCCACCTCACACCCTGCCCCCGCGCGGCCTTGGCCCCTTGCGCCCGGCGGCCCCGCCCAGCCCGGCCCCGCACCCACATCCCCTCCCCTACCCGGACCGCCGCGGTCCCGCCAGTCCCCTCGGTCGCCGAGGGCCGGGATCCTCGCGAGCCCGGGCTGGGGGCCTCCGCGAGGCCGGGCGGGGACCGCAGCGCCGGCCTCTCCGCCATCTTCCCGGCCCGCGCCGCCCACCGCCCGCGCTCTCACCGGCCGGCTGCGCGCGGGCCGCGCCGCCACAGCCCTTCATCCCGGCCCGCGCGCCGCGCCTGAGCTGCCCGCGGCTCTCCCGCTGCCGCCGCCCGCTTGGTCCGCGTCCTCCGCCGCCGCCGCCGCCGCCGCCGCCACCGGCCCAGCGCGCCGCGGCCGCGCGTCCTCCCGTCACCAGCGCAACCCCCCGCCTCCGGCCCCGCCCCCGCGCCGCCCTGCGCTCGCCGCCAGGAGGCGCCGCTGTCAGCCCCGTGCGCGTGCGCAGGCGCGCGCGGCATGCCGGGAGCCGGAGTCCCACCGGGGGGCGTGCGGCACGCCGGGAGCGTGGAGCGCGGTCGGTCTGGCTCCGCCCACAGGCCGGCGTGGAGGGTCCGCGCGGTCTCCGCGAATGCCGGGCCGGCGAAGGGGGGGCGCGTCCTTCCTAGGTCTTTCGGGCTGGGGGTGGGGCACCCCGGGCGGGGAGCCGCCTGCCCAGGTCACCCCGGTCTTGAGGCTGGTCGAGGGGGCTCCCCCGCCCCAGGTGAACCCCGCAGCCCTCCTTGGACCGCGTGGTTCGCACCTGGCCCTTTCCTATTTGCTCTCTCCTGAGATTCTTCCATCTCTGGTGCGTGCAGTTAACATTTCATACGTTTCCCGTGTGGATCTGGTGTAATTTTACCTCCTCAAACCGTATTGGACTTCTTCAATCTGAGATTTCACTTTTCCTCAACTCTGGAAAGCTCTCAGCCATTTTCTCTTAAAATATTGGCTCTCCCCCATTCTCGTAGTCTCTCCCTCTGTAATTTGTTTAAGTTGGACGGTCTGTAGGCTCCGCATCTCTATTTTCTATGTTTTTGCTTGTCATATTAACTCTTGGTAGTTGCTCAGCTTCATCTTTCCTAGTGCTCTTTTCAGCATTGTCAACCTAAAAACCAAATTCACCTGTTACTTTATCCTCAAACTGAGTTCATTTGAGACTAGCCAAAAGAATTACAACTCAAGACGTGCAGCTATGTCAAACTGTAGGTAAATCCAAAACAAACGAGGGGAGCTGCTTTTATAGAGAAAAAGGGGAGAGGGCGGGGCTGTTCTTAAGGAAAGTGCTTTGGGGAGAGGAACAGTGCGGGGAGCCAAGTGCCTTCTCATTGGCTGAGCTGTGGGCATCTCTCATTGGCTGAGCTGCAGACATTTCTCATTGGCTGAGCTGCAGACATTTCTCATTGGCTGAGCTGCAGGCATTCCTCATTGGCTGAGCTGTGGGCATTTCTCATTGGCTGAGCTACAGTGTTTCTCGTTGGCTGAACTGTTGCTAGGTGGGGAGAGAAATCTTCCTTAAGCAGTAAAATAGTTTTACTTGCTGGTGGAGGTGCAGGTGTCCATCTCTTCCTGTTTGATGGGGGTGAGAGCTCCCCCTGGAGGCCTTCCCAACTCCAATATAGTTAAGGTTCCTTTTATTAATTTCTGCAGCATTTTCTAATTTGTGTTTAGCCTGTTCTTTAAGCTTTTTAAACTTCTTGTTACCTATATTCATTTCTGGAAGTTGTGTTTGATTTCCATTTCTAGCAAAAATGGACTTCCTAGCCCATACCACGCAGTCCGTGGCCTCACCCCGGATCCCATCATCACAAGAAACTGCAAAGGGCTGAAAGCTCATTTCAAAGTCCTCAAGTGAGTTCCGCTTCCTGTCCTGACGCTCACACCGTCAATACGCCACTACTGTAATGCTTTCACCACCTGGAGCTCTCTAATCAGGACTGTCTCACCACTCTTGCACTTCCCTTTTGGCCCTTCCTCACACTTCACTCCCATACACATGGACAAGAGGTCTCTGCTGTCTTGTCTCTAGCTCCCTCTCCATTACACGCACCTGAGAAAATCCAAAGTGGGAGAACCCACCCATTCTCCTTCATCATGACTGCTCCAGAAACATCACACAACCAGGATGGTTGGCTTCACTTCACACTTTAACTGGTCACTTCACGCTCCTTGGCAATCTTGTGATTTTCTCCAGGAGGGTGAGGCTCCCACTCTCCAAAGTGGCCATCAGAATTTCTCAGGCCTCTCTAGTTGAGCCTACAGGTAAAAACAAAATTCTTATCACCAAACCCAAAGGCTCACCCACATCCATCCCCTGCCCTTCACCTTGCCTCTTGAAAATGTGCAGGCAATGTTTCCCTGATCCTGTCTAAGACAATCCCTCTGGTGAACTGGAACCCACTCCCTTTGCATTCTCAAAGATGTTGCTCTGTTATCTCCTCTCCTGCAACATCTGTTCGTCTTTCTCTAATTATTCCCATGAGCATACAAACACACTCTGATATTTCTAATTATAAAAACAAAAGGCGTCCTTTAGCTCCACATCCCCCTCCCAGGTCCCAATCCACCTCTCGGATCCCCTGCTGTCTATGCTTCTCAAAAGATTTGCCTGCACCTCACCGACATATTGTTTTTATCTCAATCTCTCCTCATCCTCCAATTCCATGGAAAATGTTTGTGTTTAGGTCACATTGCTGACTCCAGTGTACTTTTTTCTGTCGTCATTTGGTTGCCCTGTCAGGAACATCCAACATCTTGAGCCTGAGTTCCCTTTGTTGATGGGAGCACAGAATGTGCAATTCCGGTGCTCAGAGGACATGACTTTGTGTGTCATCTGCATGTAACACAACAGGATGTTGGTGTTTTGGCTGAGGACAACGGGTGTTACATGTCCACACATTCTGGAAATGTGCCAAACACATATATTCAGGGCTTCAAGGAGGCAGCCAAAGACTTCTGTGATCTTTTGCCCTTCACCACTCTAGGAAAGTGTAGGCTAGGTAAATGAGAGGGTGGATGAGGGTTTCCATGGAAAAAGATATAGACCTACTGGTGGAATGTTTTTCCATTTCCATTTTCCTTCCTCACCCCCTGCCAGACATGGGTGAGCGCATTTATATAACAGAAAAAAATTAAAGTATGGAAAAAGACATATTTGGAGGAAATGATCCAAAACAAAGCCAAGATAGAAATTTTAATATCAGACAAAATAGAATTCAAGTGCAAAACATTACCAATGGTAAAAAGAAAATTACATTCTGTTACACAAAAGACTACAAATAATTAACAATACATACTAATATATGCATTAACATATATATAAAAAACAGATCTATGGGAAGATAGACAAAGCAACAATTGTAGACAGAGAATTTAACCTATCTCTTTGATAAATCAGACAGAAAAATACCAAGATACAGAATACTTGAATAACATGGTTAACAAACTAATAGTTATAGAAATAGCTTTATATCTAAAAAGCAGAAAATAAATATATGGAACATTCACAAAACTTGACCATGGTACTATGGAAGATGGTATAAGTTCCAGGGAATCAACAACATTCAGACAAATGATCGCCAGTCAAAACGGAAAAAATTTTGAAATTAATTATGAAGGGATAGCTAAAACACATCCTATATGTCTTGAAACAAACCCCCTGCTATAAAACACTAAACAGCTAAAAGAAGTTAAAGAAGCATGAGTTCACCAAGGCAGTGAGTGTAGCTAGAAAAGAAACAAGGTCCAAGGACTGAGCTTTGGGGCCATTTAACATTGAGGAATCATGAGGATGAGGAGGAACTGGGAAAGATTAAGAGGGAGCAGGTAGAGAAGTAGATGGAAAGGCAGGTGAATGAATATCCTGGAAGACCAAGTGGAGAAGTTAAAGAAGAAGTAATAAAGAAAAATATTTAAATAGGACTGAAAAACAATTAAAAACACCAAGATTTCTAGGACAGAGTTAAAGAAATAGAGGAAATTTTAAATAGATTTTTCAGGAAATAGGAATGACTGAAAAAAGTTGTGCTAAGTGTTCAACTCCAGAAATTGGGGGGGAAAACAAAACGAAAAACAAAAAACAAGGCAATCCCAAATAAGTAAGAAGGAAGGAAATAATAAAACTAGGGGCAGAAATCAGTAAAATCAACAAGAAAATATAGAATATCAGCAAACCAAAAGCCAATTGTTTGAAAAGATTAAGAATAGATTAATGAGAGCATCATCGTATTGAATCCAGTGGTTAATCCTCAGTTCTCATGGCCTCACTTTATGGCAGCTGTCACAAGTATCTGTCACCACTGATGATCTCTCCTACCTGAAACACCTTCTCCACTTGGTCTTCCAGGATATTCATTCACCTGCCTTTCCATCTACTTCTCTACCTGCTCCCTCTTAATCTTTCCCAGTTCCTCCTCATCCTCATGATTCCTCAATGTTAAATGGCCCCAAAGCTCAGTCCTTGGACCTTGTTTCTTTTCTAGCTACACTCACTGCCTTGGTGAACTCATGCTACATATATACATATATATCCTAATTATCTTTCTCATTACATGTCTTGCCCATTGGAATATCAATTTCACAGAGGTTATTCTTGCCTGTTTTATTCATTACTGTATCCTCAGTGCCTAGAACAGTTATGCCTGGCACAGGGGATACATTCAATAAATATTTGTTAATAAAAGAAAGAATGAATGAAGAAAATGAACCTTTAGGAAGACTGATGGACAAAAAAAGAAGAGTACCTGCAAATACACTAAATCCAGAATAAAAATGAGAAACAACTACAGACAAAAAGATTAAAATAAGAACAGCATAAACAACTGTAAACTAACACATTTTAATTTTAAAGTCTAGGCTTTTCAAATTTCTCGGAAAGGAAAACTGTCAAAGTTGGTACAAAAAGAAACAGAAAACTTGAGAAGACTGTCTTAGTTCAGGCTGCCATAACAGAATATCATAAACTGGGTGGCTTATAAACAACATAAATTTATTTCTCACAATTCTGGAGGCTGAGAAGTCCAAGATCAAGGTGCTGGAATATTTGGTGTCTGGTGAGGACTTCCTTCCTGGTTCATAGGCTGCTGTCTGTTCACCATGTCTTCACACGTCAGAAGGGGCAAGGAAGCTCTCTGATATCTCTTTTATAAGGGCACTAATCCCATTCATGAAGTCTTCACTCTCATGACCTAATCACCTCTCAAATGTTCCATCTCCAAATACCATCATATTGGAGATTAGTTTCAACATAAGAATTTTGAGGAGACACAAACATTCAGTCCCTAGCAAAAACCAATATGCGTTGAAGAATTTGTAAAAGTAACCAAATACTTCACCAACCCACAAACCACATATTTCTACATAGTTTAACAGGTGAGC